ACAAGAAGGTGAGAGTGTTGAGGAGGTTGGGGGGACCCCATGGGGGTCAGGGGGCTTTGTGACACCTCCCTCTGCTCCCGGTGCAGGAGGGGATTGGGCTGGATGCTATCAATGATGCTTTCCTGCTGGAGTCCTCGGTGTACAGGCTGCTGAAGCATTACTGTGGGGCTCGTCCCTACTACCTGCACCTGCTGGAGCTCTTCCTGCAGGTGAGCCTGGCTCCAAACCCCCTTCCCGAGGGATTTCTTGGGCTCTGGGGCTCTTTTTGGGGGTTTAACGGCGTGTGGATCTCGAAGTGTTCCATGAGTCCTGGGCATCCTGCTGGACACACACCCTGCTGGCTCAGAGAAGAGCTGAACCAGGATCTGCACTGTGCTGTTGGAACATTCCTGGGAGCTGTGGGAATAAATGATGAAATCACTGCTTTAGGTTGGAAAGGACCTTAAAGCTCATCCCGTTCTACCCCGTGCCATGGGCAGAGACAGTTTCCCCCAGCCCAGGTTGCTCCAAGCCTTATCCAACCTGGCCTGGAACACTTCCAGGGATGGAGCAACCACAGCTGCTCTGGGCAACCTGTGCCAGTGCCTCACCACCCTCACAGGGAGGAATTTTCTCCTAATACCTCATCTCAATCTCTCTCCATATAAAACCATCCCCCCTCATCCTGTCACTGCTGCCCATGTAAAAAGTCCTCTCCCTCTCTTTTATAAGCCCATTTAAGTGCTGGAAAGCTTCAGTGAGGCCACAAATGCTTTCCTTGCTCTCCAGACAGGCTACCAGACAGAGCTGGGGCAAATGCTGGATCTCATCACTGCTCCTGTGTCCAAGGTGGATTTGAACCGTTTCAGCGAGCAGCGGTAGGGAGAGGCAGAGCTTCCAGCCCCTTGCACACACAGCTGTGCTCCCAGCCCGAGCACAGGGCTGGGCTGGGGGAGCTGCTGCTGGTCCTCTCTGCCCTGACCTGCGGAGCCCCCGTGGGAGGGGAGAGCCCCAGGCCTTGGGGCTGAGTGTGGTTTCTTTCGCCACAGGTACAAGGCGATTGTTAAGTACAAGACAGCATTTTACTCCTTCTACCTCCCTGTGGCTGCAGCCATGTACATGGTGAGCTTGGTGGGAACACACAGGAGGGGCTTAACCCTCTGTGTGAGGCTGTTCCGGAGGTTTTATTCCTTTGCCCTCTCCTAGGCTGGTATTGACAGCAAACAGGAGCATGACAACGCCAAAGCCATTCTGCTGGAGATGGGTGAATTCTTCCAGATCCAGGTAGGAGGTGTCTCCACAGCCCTTGGTGCTCCTCAGGTGCTGGTTGTGGCACTCAGGTGTTTGCACTGTCACACAGGACGATTACCTGGACTGCTATGGGGACCCTGCACTGACAGGGAAGGTTGGCACTGACATCCAGGACAACAAGTGCAGCTGGTTGGTGGTGGAGTGTCTGCGCCGGGTCACACCGGAGCAGAGGAAGGTCCTGGAGGTAACAGCCCTGGGAGAGGAGGTGTGGAAGCCCTCCCTGAGGATTGGGGTGTAGAGGAGGTGTAGTGCCATAACATACACCTGAAGAGCCACGTGCTGGGCTGGGAGGAGGGGTTGGAACAGCTCGGGACAACAAAGCTCCTGCCCCATCCTGATACAGCAGCTGTGCCTGGGCCTGACTCCAAGATTTCCCCAGGAGAACTATGGCTGTAAGGAGCCCGAGAAGGTGGCAAAGGTGAAGGAGCTCTACACCACCCTGGGCATGGAGGCAGCTTTTCGGGAGTACGAGGAGAGCAGCTACCAGCGGCTGCAGGAGCTGATCGCACAGCACGCACA